TTTGTCTTTGGTTTTGATGAGTTTGATGATGATGTGTCTTGGTGATTTTCTTTTGGGGTCTATCCTGTCTGGGGTTTGTTGGACTTCATAATGGATATATTCTCCTCTTTCATATTATCAGAGAAGTTCTCTTCCAACAAATCTTGGACAATTTTGTCAGTGGCTTCATTTTTCTCTTCCTGTTCTAGAATTCCAGTGACATGTAGGTTATTCCTTTTGATAGTATCCCACATGAACCTTAGATTGTCTTTATTTTGTTTGATCATTGTTCTGATTGATTCCTTTCCAAAGAAGTATTTAGGTATTTGTCTTCAATCTCATCAATTCTGTCTCCATTGCATCAATTCTACTCCTTTGCCCTTTCAATGTGTTATATATTTCTGACAATTTAGTATTAATCTTCTGGATTTCTATCTGTAGATTTAGAATCATTTCTAATTTTCCATTTATTTTGTTATGTTCTTCTTGTGTTTTCTTCCAAAATTCTTCTAGGGTTTTTTCTGTGTTTTCCTTGATCAGTCTCTCCATCTTTTGAAGATACCTAAATATAATTCCTTGAATTCCTTATCAGATAGTTCCAGTGCTGCTTCTTCCTTAGGGATGTGTTCTGGGTCTGTATCCTGCTTCCTTATCTCTACCACTTTATCTTGTTTCTTTGTTTGGACTGTTATGGTCTGTTGTTTCTGAGACATTGTGGCATTGTTGCATTTAGATCTCTTTTAGCTGTGAAAAAGCAGTTAAGAGTGAGTCAGGCTCTTCTTTGTGGTTGTTTATTGATGGCCCATTGGTGGAGAAGGAAGTGGTGGCTCTCAGTAAGTGAAGCTGCAGGAGGTGTGGGTCTGTTGCTATCTTCCACTCTGCTAGACAAAAATAACAATTGAATAGCCATCAAAAAAGCAAAAGCAAATTGACAAAAAATACACCATGTAATCACACAGGAACAGTAACCAAAAAAAAGAAAAAAGGGAAAAAGAAGAAAAAGGAAAAAACCTGCAATATCTGGGAGAGGGCAATAAGAGAAAAAAGGTAGAGAAGAATAATGAGAAAAAATGGGAAAAACGCAAAAAGAAAACCAAGGAATGGTGTTAACCACAAGAACGAGAAAAAAAATTGCAACCAGAAAATGGAAAAGAATAAAAGCTGAAAATTAGAACCTGGCAGGGGAAGAATAAAGAATAATAGTAAAAAGGACAAAATTAATAATAAATATAGTAATTTTAAAACAGACAAAAATAAACAAACTGAAAAACATAAACAAGAAAAAAAAATCAGGGCAGCACAGGGCAGGTCACCCAGGCTCCATCCAAGCACACAGACTGTGATGAAATTCCTGCCAGCCCAGAAAGTGGGTGGGAGTAAGGGATGGCCGCACCTCCATTCACCAAGAGGGTTTGGGGTATAAGAGTAACAAGGGGAATGTCTCACCTTTCCAGACGTCCGGGTCTGAAATGTCCTTGGGTTTTCCAGCAAGTGGAGCCTGTCCCTGGAATCTGGGAGAATGCTGTAGCTTTAAATATCCAAAATGGATAAACATTCAAAATGGCTGCACTTGTAAACATTCAAAATGGCTGCACCCTCCAGACAGACAAAAGTCCACAGCTCAACCCGCCTCTTCTTTACTGCTTCCTCTTTTGTTCCCCAGCCATCAGAGCAGTCCTCCATGCAATCCCTGGCTAGTGGGGCAGATCTTTAGGTTAATTCTTAGGTTCTACCACTGGGAGCTCTGGTAGCATAGTGCCTAAGGCATTTGACTGCTATCCAGAAGGCTGGCGGTTCAAACCCACCAGCCACTCCTCGGAAGGAAAGTTAGGCAATCCTACTTCCGTAGTGATACTGCCTCGGAAACCCAAGGAGGGGTCGCTATGAGTCGGGGCCAACTCGATGGCAAATAACAACAACAACAACAACCACCACTCAGCAATAACCAAGCTGTTTGTGCCATCAGGATCGCTGCCAGACCGAAGCTCTGTATGTCTCCTTTTTTGGTGTTTTCATGCAAATTTTTCTGCTAGTTGGAGTTTAGTCCACTTCCATATCATTCCATTCAAGGCTCAGGGGCCCAGGATTATCTTCTGTATCTGTGTTAATTGGTTTCCATTTTCTTTGCTGAACAGGGTCTTGTGCAGTCTTTCTGCCTATTCCACCATCCTACTGGAACCAATACTCATGATTTTTTGAGTTAGAGTTTGTATGGAGATTAGGGAAGTAACAAGTCAGGATTGGAAACAAGTCAGGAAACAGTTCTTCAATCAGGACCACTTTCTCTCAGCCAAGTTGGCCTCAGCCCCTGCCCTGCTTGGGCCAGTGTTAAAAAGCCCTTCTAGCTTTGCTGATAGGTACCAGAGAGGCTCCTCATTCTGCCAGCAGAGCTACTGCCCTAAGGCCCTCAGCTTTCTTTCACTGTGGGCCAGGAGGCGGACTGCTCTGTCTCATGCCAGTATCTTTGTTCTGCTGCCTCTGCTGTCACTCTGTCTCTGTCATCTCTCTGCCAGCTCAGAGCAAGGATCTCAGACCCAAGGATGTATTCTAATCCTGGTTCTTCTCTCTGGATGGTAGTGAGATCTCCCCTTTCTTGCCTGTGAGATGACTCATTTTAAGCCCAGCAGATGGCAAAACTGAGCAATCCTCACGTTAGGGTTCCATATGCCATTTGCCCAGTCTTACCCCCATAAGGGTGCCATGTACCTTATTTACATTATTAACAAGCTATCCAATCCCCAAGCTATCCAAACCACCTTACATTTACATAGTTCTACCCAGTCATCTGGTGAGAATCACATAGACCCTGGCTAGAAGAGCCATATTAAGTAATTCACTGTACCGCATAAGCAGTGAGGTCAATGGTAATTTTTTACAGCAGCAACAGGAAACATCATGTCTCTGCCCTATTGTTAGTCTTGTCTCCCAGAGTCCTGCAATGGTGGTTGGCTACTGTTCTGGTTACCTAGTGCCACTCTGACAGGAATATACCACAAATGGGATGGCTTGAACAAAAGTTTATTCTCTTACAGTTTAGAGGCTTTAAGTCCGAGTTCAAAGTGCCAGGCTTAGGGGCTGAGTGAAAGCCCCTCAACCTTAGGCTTCAGCTATGCCTCCTGCTCCCAGCCCACTGAAGCTGGAGGCTTTTCTTCACTCAGGCAGCTTCTGGCTGCTGAGGCTAACAAACCCAAGGTCAACAAGTGAAAAGGCACAGTCCTGATATTACCAAACAACATGGCAGACCACTAATTCAATTCCATAAAAAGTTCCAAGATCAGCAGGGCATGGTAGGCTATTGGACAACAACTTGGATATATGCAGGGTTCAAGCATGCACAAAAGCTACAGCCTATCCTCAAAGCTGCTTCTTATATATGGGAAGCACCCACATCACTAAAGCAGCTACTCAGCTGCTCCAGTAGATTTTACCATGGAGGTAATTACCAATATCACCATGGGGAATAACTACATCCAGCTGCCCAGCTTCTCAACAAGACTCAGCCAAGTTGACACACAACTTAACTACCACAGTCACCAATTCTACCTGTTTTTTCTAGCAAGACAGAGTATGGTGTAGAGTGAAGATTGGGGGCTCTGAATTTACATTCAGAATATAGGTACTTTCATGTAACACTGAGCAAGTGTAACTCTCTGTGACTCAGTTTCCTCATAGAAGAAAAGGGGATAAAACCACCCATCTGAATTAGTTTCCTAGGGTTGCAAGACATATAAAAGAAACTTGATGGCTTATAAGATCAGAAATATATTGCCTCACAGTTCAGGAACCTAGTAGTCCAAATTCAGAATGTTTGAAAGTCCATCTTCTTTCCAGAGGCTTTAGAGGAAGATCCTTTCTTGTCTCTCCTGGCTTCTGGTACCCTCAGCTTGCAGCTGCAGGAAAACTCTATCATCATACAGCCATCTTCTGTTTCTTTTCTCCTCTTACATAAGAACACCACTTAGATTGGACTAGGGCACACCCTATTCTGGTATGACCTCCTTAACTGATCACATCTTCAAAGACCTTATTTCCAAACAAGGTCACACTGACAGATACTGGGAGTTAGGACTTCACCATATCTTTTTCAGGAACACAATTCAATCTATAACATCATCCTAGTATTTTAAGAAGGAGCTCTGGTAGTGTAGTGCCTAAAGAGCATTTGACTGCTAACCACAAGGCTGGCGGTTCAAACCCACCAGCCACTCCTCAGAAGGTAGGTTGGGCAATCTACTTCAGTAGTGATACCGCCTCAGAAACCCAAGGAGGGGTTGCTATGAGTTGGGTCCGACTCGAGGGCACATAACAAGTATTTTAAGAACTAAATGAGATTATGCAATGTAAATTACTTAGAAGAGTACCTGCTACTTATGCTACAGCTATCAGTTTCATCATTACTAACTTCTGGCCCCTTTCTACCTCTCTTCACAGTGTGTCTATGCTGGAATACTGAGAGGTACTGGGAAGCAGGCCTTTGGAGCCATTGTGAATTTGATCGCATTTTACATCATCGGCCTCCCACTGGGTGCCATTCTGACCTTTGTGGTTAGAATGAGAATCATGGGTATGAGATGTGAGGAAAAGCTGGGGAAAGGTCTGGGATGTTCATCTGGCGCTCTACCTATTGTTATTTGTCTACTGCAGGTCTCTGGCTGGGCATGTTGGCCTGTAGCCTCCTGGCAGCTATTGCTTTTATTGCCTACACTGCTCAGATTAACTGGAAGTTAGCTGCAGAGGAGGTGAGTGAGTTAATGGCCCTTGGCATATAAGACACATACCTGGCTCAAGACAGGAGAGTGGCTGCTCAGCCAGAAATGCCTGGAGCACATCAAAACTCAGAAGCAGCGATCTGTGGTATAGGCTGGGAGGAGGAGGGAGGGAGAGTCAGGGAAAGGCCTTCTGAGCCTCCACATCTGCTCCTGTCATTTTGATTGGACCCCAGATAATTTCAAGGTGAGAAGAATACTCCGCAGTTACAAAGAGAAACATAAAGCCAAAAATCTGCCTTAGACAACCCCACCTGCTAAAAAACAAACAAAAGGAAAGAGCTCAATCAAGCTAGTGTGAATCCAGGGGAGCCCTAATGTTGTTGTGTCTTAACTTTAGAAGTTGTAAAATCACTCTATCCACAATGCTCTTAGATGAGGTTTTAAACAGAGCAACCCAGCATTTGTTTCTCCTATACAAGCATAGTGCCTAAGGCACTTGACTGCTAACCAGAAGGCTGGCGGTTCAAAACCACCAGCCACTCCTCGGAAGGAAGGTTGGGCAATCCTACTTCCGTAGTGATACTGCCTCGGAAACCCAAGGAGGGGTCGCTATGAGTCGGGGGTGACTCGACGGCAAATAACAACAACAACAACAACATACAGTAAAGAAGAGGAGGAAGGTATTCTCCCAAAGACCAGCGTATGGTTTTGCTTTATGTATGTATGGATAAAATCACCTTCACATCTTAAAAGACAATGGTACAAATTTAAAATAACAAAAGTAAACACACACACAATAAAAACTACTAGTAAAACAAAAATCATATTAAGTCAATAGCAGAGATTGATTGAAGTTTACTGAATATAAGATTTCCAAATCAGGGTAAAATTTCAACTAGAGGGCCAGAAATGTTCCACAGATGAAAATAATGTCCAAAATCCTTATACCAAATCTTACTGGTATTGCCATGGGGAAAAAAAGGATGGGGAAAGAACTGATAAACAAAATTTGTCGTCAGGAAGGATTTTAATACAACACTGTCTTGAATGAAAATAATTACTGATTTACCCTAAACATAGTTCCCAGTCTGACCCGTGAAGTCAACTTCCCAAAACTAAGAATTCTACAAAAGAGCACAGGGCAGGCTACAAAAACAAAAAGTCACCAAAACAGCCTCTAGTTAGACCCTGAAGTCTGTGCTTCTCAAAGCTGGCTGCACATGAGTAATTTTCCAAAAGAACCCCAAAGTCTCTGCTAAGCTGCTTGGTAGGCTATTGTTTCACCTGAAGGTGATTCCAGGAAACTAGTTCCTATAAGGTCCAAAAAGAGGACTGAAGGGTGGATGATCTGTGTGGGTTACCCCAACTCCCAAGAAAGGCAGAAATCTGGATTCCAGGATAATTAAAACTCTTCCGTCATTATGAGTATATGAATATGTCCTACTTCAGGTTGTAATGTTTTCAAGGCAGAGGATATATGAGGCCAGTGGTGATGAGAAGGCTGGCAGGCTCACTGAGGCAGCTCTCTTCTCTTTAGGCTCAGAAACATGCAGGCCTGCATCAGCAGGGAGCAGAGCCCACAGGTCCCAGACCTGGGCCTGAGAAGGTGGTTGTATCTTCAGGTAATGTCACAGTGTCTTCTGCTTTGATACATTCAAAACTGTCAGTGGCACATCGTTCTCAGTTGCTCTCTGTATGACAACCAGCTTCATTTGTTTAATAGTTATGGAGCACCTATTTTGTGCTAGGCCCATAACTTCATCATGTGTGTGAATCATGTGATTAGAAACTGAATAGGCCCAAGCTGTTTTCTTTTCCATCATGATGAAAATGTCCTAAGTGCCAGGAAAACAAAAATAAATAAATCCATTATTTTACATGCATGCAAGTACCAGATACTGCAACTAACAGTTTACAGCCTTAAGCTTGTGAGCAAGTGACATGTTTTCTCAACATTAGATGAGAAACCAAGTCCCAGAGAGATTAGGTACTTTCCCCATCATTCCACCAGTAGTAAGAGATAAAATACAAGCCCAGATCCATCCAATTGGTAAACTCACAATTCTCACTCACTAAACTCCCTCCTGAAGGAGCCCCTGGTCGTTTAGTGGGTAAGGCATTTGGCTGCTAACCAGAAGGTTGGTAGTTCAAATTCATCAGCCACTCCATGTGAGGAAGATGAGGGAATCTACTTTTGTAAAGATTTGTAGCCTTGGAAACCGAAGGGTCATTATGAGTCCGAATTGATTCAATGGCTGTGGGTTTAAACTCCCTCCTAGGACAGAGGGAATTTGCCCACAGTCTCTAGATATCAGCCTGAACCATCAGACAGACAGAACAGCTGATTTACATCTAACGTCTACACAATAAAGTGATGGCTCCAGCTTTGAGGCATAGGGTCCCCTCCCAACTCCAGGGCTGGCACTGAGTGTGAGGTGTGTGGGTATGTGGCTTACAACTCTGACAGGTTATATCTGAGGGAACACATCTCATCCTGGGCTTTCCTTGATGTGTACCGTTGTGAGCCAGCTGACTAACACTCTAAGAGCTTAAATTGTCATGAGAGAATCTGGTAAGACAAAATCAACTAATCATTTAATATACTCTTCTGAAGACATGCACAAAATTAACTTTCAAAGTGACATATGTCTTCACAAATTGACAGATTCTTCATCTGATCAAACACTAAACTTGATCTGTACATCAACTAACAGATTAAGAAACTTTACCACACATTTCTTGATCTGATCCTGTTTGCAAAGTAGACAAAGCAGGCATTTTTCTATTGTACAGGAATTTCCTACTGAAAGGCAGAGAGGATAATTAACCAGTCATATAGGGTAACAAGTGAAGTTAGGCAGTTAACAAAGGCCTATTGATTCCAAGGTCAAACTCCTCCCCTGCCCACAGCACTGAGTTTGTTCCTGTTTATTTCTGCAGTGGCTATGGGTAGCTCCCCTGGCATTACCTTGACAATGTATTCAAGGCCTGAGTACCAAATGGACCTCTTCAGGATGCCAGAAACAGCCCTCGGCCTTTCAGTTTCTGCCAACACATTGTCAGTGAAACAGCTGGCTGTCCGCCGTGGAGCTGCTCTGGGGGCAGCGTTAGCCACACTGATCCTGGGGCTTGTTGTCAGGGTCCTCACAACTAGGCCCTAGCAAAGCAGCTTGGAGACAGGAACAGGAAAGACAAAAACGTGGCTGTCCCCACCACACACAAACAGGTCCACCCTACAGAAGCACCAATGGGATCCAGTACAGGTGGACACTTAGGACCACTCCTCGTAAAAGAGCTTCAACTGGTGGTACCTCATGGAGACATGACAATTCTGTTGTGGTCAAGTGCTTTCTTCTTCTGATCTGGATTGCTCTTTAGAAGACATGAAATGAGTGAAAATCCTGAGTGCCATTATTATTCAATAATGTAAATAGCTTCAAATCGGAGATTCCAAATAAAAAATATTGCAAAACATCCACTTGTCATTAACGGAGATGGCTAGGTTCCAAAGCCCAGGTCCGTATGTAAAATCAGTGTTATGTGAAAATCAGTGTTGCATGGAAATTATATAATTTCCCTACCTGCCACTTTCTGCAGCCTTCCTGCAGACATGCTTCAACAAGGCCCAGGCAGAGGTGGCAGGAGAGGACTCTGCAGGCCTGCTAGTAGGGCAGGGTCTTCCAACTCTCCCAGGTTCACAGTGCTCTTTTGCTCTCTCCTTCCCTACATCCTGTGCTCCCCTCCAGCCTGTAGTTACCACCTCCTTCTCGCTTGTGCCGCCAGTCCTGTGCCCCTGGAAGGCTCCTCTCCTTCCTGGGACGTCTTCCCCTCCAAGTATATTTCCTGTACAGCTTGAACCACCGGTCCTTCCTCACACCATGGCGTCCTTCCCCTTGAGGCCCCAGGGGCCCAATTGGCTGGGCCCTCGTTATCTATCAGCTCCAGTCTCTCCCAGAGCACTGGGGCTACTCCCAGGAACATGACCTCCTGGCTGAGATGCCCACTGCTCTCCCAATACCGCTCCCCTTGTCTCCCAGAACTTTTGAGCTCCTCCAGGAGCTCCCAGACACCTGCTCTGTTGCAGCAGCCTCCGTGGGCTCCCCTCCCCCCACTCCTGCACCTGGGCTCGGGGCTCTCGGGTTCTTTTGGTGCTACTAGCGAGGCGCTAACCCCTCCTCAGGCACCACGGAGCCAGTCGAAGGCTGTGGGCTCCTCCTGCCCGCTTCGTCCGGCGACCCCACACCACCCCCAGGCTGGGCTCTTGGCCGCAGCCGCGCTCCTGTAACCTCAGGCCCACCCTCCTCCCTGCTCCTCCACGCCGAGCACGTCAGCCCGAGGAGGTGCGCTATGAGTGGGCCCAGCTGAGAACCTCGACCCGCAGCGACCTTCAGCTCGGGCAGGGTGGGGTTGAATCTGCCACGATCCTCCCGCACGTGTGTATATTTGGAGGATGAGAGGAGGGGCTGGCTATCTTGCTCGGTCCAGCCACTCGCTAGCCCCCTAAGACCGCACGGCCCCGCCCCTCCAGATGGTGCTGCTTTGGGTGCCCATTCACAACGCCCTCTCTTCTTCCGCCCATTCCCTCGCGGGAGGGGGCTTCTTTCCACCTTTGGGGGTAGGGGTGGGGGTGGGGGACCACCGCAAGTGTAGCCTCCCACTCTTGTCGCTGAGAGTCGACATTGCTCGGCGGGTAGATTTTTTAGTGTTGCTGTAAATATGAAATGTCTGATGAGGAGAGAGTTGGTAAGTGAGGTGTAGGTGTAATAATGTTGTATAAAAAAGTACTTACTATGTACGGAGGCCCAAGTCTATTCTTGGAGCTTTTTTGTAAAGCTTTGAAAAAAGGGCCAGTGGGCCTTTCCAAGCAACCCAGTTCACCACGATTCACCACGACTCCAATTGCCTGCCCACTCCCCTCAGCAAATACAGGTGCTGTCAAACTGCTGAATGAATACTCTTCTTCAGGGATCCCATTTAACCAATCTTTCCTCCAATTCTTTTCCCACCACCAGTATTTTCACTTATACAGACTGAAAAACTCTTGTTTCTTACCATTTTTTCTTAGAGTTGTTGTTAGGTGCTTTCAAGTCAATTCTGACTCACAGCTTTGTACAATAGAACAAAACCCTACCCAGTCCTGCACCATTCTCACAATTTTTGCTATGTATGAGCCCATTGTTACAGCCACTGTGTTAATCCAGCTAATTGAGGGTCTTTCTCTTTTTTGCTGACCCTCTATTTTACCAAGCATTTTGTCCTTCTTCAGGGACTGGTCCCTCCTGATAACATGTCCAAAGTAAGTGAGATGAAGTCTCACCAGTCTCACTGCTAACGAGCATTCAAGCTGTACTTCTTCCAAGACACCAAGAGAGATTAGTTCCTTCTTCTGGCAAACAATGGTATATTCAATTTTCTTTGCCAATACCATGATTCAAATGTATCAATTTCTTTTCTTACTACTGTTTTTTTTTTTTTTTAATCATGCTTTGGGTGAAAGCTTGCAGAGCAGACTGGTTTTCCATTCAACAATTCATACGTATTGTTTTCTGATATTGTGAAAGCAACCTTCTCACTCCCTTTCTGCGCCACTCTTTTCCTTCATTTTTCCTTCCCATCTCCTTCCGTCTTCCTAGCTCTATCCCTGGGCAAATGCTGTCCTCTTGCTCTCATATGCTTGATTATTCTAATGAGTGCAAAACCAAAACCAAACTCACTGCCATCAAGTCAGATCCAACTCATAACGACCCCTCCCCAGGTTTCCAAGGCAGTATCACTACAGAAGTAGATTGCCCAATCTTCCTTCCAAGGGGCGTGATGGGTTTGAATCACCAGCCTTCTGGTTAGCAGTCAAGGACCTTAGGCACTACACCACCAAAGCTCCCTCCTGATATTACTGTTCACTTCATAGGCCTATCATTTGCCTGCTAGTTGAGTCTTGGGGGTTAAGTTCAGTTCCTCCCTTGAAGGGTGTATAAGGGCCGTAGTCTCAGGAGTTCCACCAGTCTTCACAGGTTTTTTTTTTTTTTTTTTATGATTTTGAGTTTTGTTGCACATTTCTTCCTACTCTATCCAGGACCTCTTATTGTGATCCCTTTCAGAGCGGTCAGCAGTGGTAGCTGACACCATCTAGTTCTGGTCTCGGGGTCACGAAGTCTGGGTTCATATGTGCCAATAGTCCATTGAACTAATTATTTTGTGTCTGATTTTCTTTACTCTTCTTTGCTCCAGATGAAGAGACACCAATAATTGCACCTTAGATGACTGCCCACAAGATTTTAATACCCCAGTTGCTCACTACTTACCAAAGTAGAATGTAGAACATGTCTTTGTGGACTATATGTTATGCCAATGGACCTTAGTGTCCCCTGAGACTATAGTTCTGAGCCTCCATACCCAAAGACTCATTCCCTCAAGTTGTTTGGCTATGACTAAATGTTTTCATAACTTTGTCCCATTAGCTCTACAATATTCATGTATTTGCAGCACATATAACTACATAGGCAGAGACAGCATCTGTTGAACCTATATATATATGTGTGAATACATATAGGTCTCCACTCACCTTCCCACCCCTGTTCAGATTGTCTATGCATCCACTCATAAATTATTATTACTGGAAGACTGTGTATATAATATTCATCTTTGTTGCCTTTAACTCTTGTGCTCCTCATGTCTTCCACTGCCGTAATCTTTTTGTATTGACCTCCTCCTCATTGTATATTGCCTTTCTCTTAACCCAAAGAAGCTCTGGTGGTGTAGTGGATAAGGCATCTGGCTGCTAACCAGAAGGTCAGCAGTTCAAAACCACCAGGTGCTTCACAGAAGGAAGAAGGGGCAATCTACTTCCACAAAGATTTATAGCCTCAGAAACCCAATGGGATTGCTATGACTTGGAATTGACTCAATGACAGTGAGTTAGGTTTTTTGCTTCATGCTCTAGTGGGTGATTGTCCATCCCTTCTCCTCCCACCCCTGGTACCCTTCAAAGAACAATTATGTGTGTAAATCTTTTCTTTTTACAGTAGTGGTCTCATATAATTGTCCTTTTGTGATTGATTTATTTCACTCAGCATAATGTCCTCTAGTTCATCAATGTTATGAGGTGTTTTTCAGATTCATCATCCTTCTTCAGTGTTGTGTAGTATTCCATTGTGTTTATGTACCATAGTTTGATTACCTATTTATCAGTTGATGGGCACTTGGGTTGTTTCCATCTTTTTGCTATTGTGAATAATGCTGAGATGAACATGGGCATAAATGGATCTGTTTGCATCAGGGCTCTTATTCCTCCAGGATATAAATTTAGTAGTGGGATTGTTGGGTCATATGGTATTTCTTTTTCCAACTTCTTAAGGAAGTACCATACTGTTTTCCACAGTGGTTGTACCATTTTACAGTCCCACCAGCAGTGTATACGTTTTCTATTTTTTCCACACCCTTGCCAGCATTTTTTTTTTTAACTTTGCTATTAATACTAGAGTGAGATGGTATCTCATTGTTGTTTTGATTTGCATTTCTGTAATGCACCAACTACAAGCATTTCATGTGTTTGTTAGTTGCCTGAATGTCTTTTCTGGTGTTTTTTTCATGTCCTCTGCCCCATTTTTTAATTGGATTGCTTGTCTTTTGCTTTTGTTATTGAAGTTTTCTATAAAATTAGTTCCATGTCTGATATATCATTATCAATTTTTTTTCCCCAGTCTGTAGGTTCTCTTTTTACTCATGTGATAGTCTTTTGATGCACATTGACGCTTAATTTTTAGGAGGTCCCAGTTGTCCAGTTTGTCTGCTGCTGGTTTTGTGTTGTTTGAAGGTGTATTTATGCCATGCATTAGGGCCCCTCTTTTTTGATGTTCTTTATAGTTTTAGGCTTTACACTTAGTTCGTAGGTCCATCTAGGGTTAGTTTTTGTATATGGTGTGAGATATGGATCCTGTTTCATTTTTCTGCAAATGGTTGTCCAGTTTTGCCAACATTTGTTAGAGTCTCTCTTCCCCACTTAATGGGTTTTGGCCCTTTGTCAAAGAGCATCTGTCCATAGGTGGACAGATTTACTTCTGGGTTCTCGATTCTGTTCCATTTATCTGTGTTTGTCATTGTACTATTTTAACTACTGTTGTTGTATAGTAGGTTTTGAGATCTGGGAGGTGAGGCCACCTACTTTGTTCTTTAGTGTCTCTTTCCTTTCCACATAAAATTGGTAATTAGTTTTTCTATCCATTTAAAAATAATGAAAATTCATCAACCGCTTACATCAGATCTTTTCTCTACATAGCCTGAGAATGGAATATAGTTCTGATTCAAATTCAAGGATGTTTTTCTTTAAGACCTGGGGCTGGTTAACATTTTAGGGTTCAATGGTGAATGCAGGCCACACTCTGCCATCAAAAGTAGAAAGCAGTCTAGCTGGCATTGCCACTGTCTCAACATCTTTAGCTACTAACACATTCACAAATGAAACAGATTTATCTGTCAAAGCCAATGGGGGAGGGGAGAAGGATGCATAGAAAATAAATCTCTGAAGATTGAACATGCTGTGAATTCAGTAACGTGGTGTTTTCAGTGTCCTGCACTTGTTTACCACATAAATACCTTAGCGAGCACACAAAGTAACTAGGTACAGAGCACTGGAAGTAAACATTGAAGTGCAAATCTAGACTCCATGGCATTGTTTCCACATGAATGCTCTAAGTAAATGCCGGTCTCATGGGAAGTTAATAGGTATTCAGCAAAGGGGTTCTATGGTCAAATAACAACATACATAAATACTTCAAAGGTTCCAGAAGACTTGGAAATGCTGATGTACTTTACAAATCCCTGGTATACAGGATTGGCTGTGGCGCCATTTTTTGTGTAAAATTTTGTGGGATTAAAGTTCTATAAATATACTTTCACAAATCCTTGTTTTAGATGAGTAAATGAGAGTAGGAGGACACCGCTGGACAAAACATATTAATTATAGCTTTTATAAAATCACAAATGACAGAAAGTAAAGCTTGAGAAAATCTTGCTTAAGGATTTAAAGTAAGAAAGCATGACTTAAAAGAAAGTTGACGAACACTACTTTTGACAGATAAGAATTAAAATAAAAATGGATTTACAGTTAGAGAAAATTTATGATCAAAGAATCAGGGCACATTTGAGGTTCCACACCAAGAATGTTATTATACCATGTAGCAATTTTATCAAATACAATGTATTAATTTTGCAGCAGAATATACTAGTAGCCCTGGCAAAAATTTAGCTTAATTAGAAATTATAATGTACAACTAAATATACTAAATGAAGTTTCATATTAAAATTCTGCCTAATACATTTTAATGATTCTCCTTTTTAACTGTTACTGCCATAATTTAGGCAACCACTTCACTGGGCTTGTGATTAAATCTTGATATTTCCTATTGTGATGATGATAGCCTTCATGGTACAAATTCATTCAACAGATTTGGTTATACATTCTATGACATGAATTACATTCTCTCATTGAGTGGGTTGAGTTTGTTTTCAAATGCAGAGAGCTAGGTAGGTAGAACCCCAGGAGTTGTGAAGCACAGCACAATACTGCCCTAAGGAAAGGGTTAGGTTCCACATGCCCAATCCTTTTTATCCCCTTGGCTGAAGTGAGTCAGAGGTCTTGGCTACAGCAGGCTCTGATAAGGGTAACTTCTCCTGTGTTTGGGAGCAACTCTGACTCTACATTTGCAGGTTCTATCACTATAGTCTCCAACCCCTTTAAAACGGTCAACTGCTATGGCTTACAGTTATTCTCAAATCCTGGTGGGGCAGAGGTTAAGTGCTCAGCTGCTAACTGAAAGTTCAGCAGTGTTGAAACCAACACTCTGTGGGAGAAAGATGAAGCAGCCTGCTTCCATAAAGAATATAACCTTGGAAACTCTATGGGGCAGTTCTACTCTGCCCTATAGAGTCATTATGAGTTGGTATCAACTTGATAGCAATGAGTTATATTCTCTAAACTTCAACTAATCTACCTTCTGCCCCACAAGACTTTCAAAATCCTAAAGTCCTGAATATCCAAGGCATCTTTTCTGTGAGAAGAAATAGTTTCCCCATTTTAAGTTCTGTAGGATGAATTTATTCCCAAAGGGATCTGCCTGAAAGCTTTAAAAGGTGAAATTTACTTGCATTGTGTTATAGAAATAAGAAATTTAGTTTTGTCCATAAGGATCTACTAACTTTAGGGTCCTGAGAGAATATAAGCATTTTCATTAGTACTTTTATTACAGCATTTAAAAAATGCCAGTTAAATTTGACAAGATGTGAAATTCACAACTCCAAAACTATAAGAATGACAGATGATACTTACATGAAATTGCCAACTGTCTTCTAGGCAGCTCTAGGATTTATAAGATGCTTTGAGTGACATTAGTTATCCAAAGCATTGAGAACAACCACAACAGAGAATGCCACAAACCACACTCAACTCAGATGGAGAACAGATAAGAAAGGATGGAGACCTTTCATCACACAGCATATCTGACCACAGGGCCAACTTCTAGAGGTCAAGTGCTGGAGTCCCAGTGGGTGACAGGCTTCCCACACACACAGTTCCAGTGCCTCAAACCTCAAGAAGAACTGCAAAGATTTAGCCTCACCCCTCTGGACTGCCAGTAATCCTAAGCAATGCTGAGAAAATCAGCTCTGAAAAGTTTTGCAGAGCTATGTTGGCAGCAGCAAGGGGAGCAGGTGGAGTCTCCTTCACTACCCAAAAGGTTTAAGATTTGAGTCAACACATTCTAGAATATATTCTAGAATAGATGCTGTTGAGTACCCTTACTATTGGGAATGTTGGGATTTGACTGAAATGGCAAGTTTTATTATTTAGGTTTAATCACAGTGCATATGCATATTTTTTCTTACTATTATTAGCAGAATTTTAAAAATATTGGTTCATTAACCATTTAATAGAAGGAATTATTCAGGAGAGGCAACTAGGTGGTTGAACAGGATCATTCTTCAATAGTATTCAGCCTAGAAAGGAGAGAAAGGGATCCAGGTTAATTTGCTAGTTTTAAAACCCACCCAACCAGTCTTGGAACATGAGCTTAATATCAAGACTATAACAAATACCTTCTGTCTTAAGATACTCTAAATGCATTTCATATACATACATTATATATATATATATATATGTTGTTGTTGTTATTTGCCGTCGAGTCAGCCCCGACTCATAGCGACCCCTCCTTGGGTTTCTGAGGCAGT